ATGAACCGTCGTCGAATTTTTGGGGAAATCACAGAAAACACTCGGGAGCCTCTTGTCAAAAACGTCCACATCACCTTCGAAAAACCTAAACATTTTTCTTTTAAAATCCGTTGAATTATACACCATTCGACGCAGATTTTCGTTCTACATCTGAATATGTATATACATGCACAAACGATATGTACCACTAGTATACTTTGCAAAACGATAAAAATAATATTAATTTCATCGCAGCCATCGGGCCCATTATCTTGTCCTTGGTTTCATCTTAAACTATGGTCGTATAACTTTCAATCCTTCCAAAAATACAATCAACGGAGCTGATGTTACTGTTCTGTTCGTCGTCAGGTGTCTGTCCATAATTTGCGATGCTTTCCTAATTTTAAGTCGATATCTGAAGAGTCTTTTGATAGTATTTTTCCAGTTTGCCCAGTCTACATCGTGTCCTGTTTCAAATTCATGTTTGTAATTGCTGTACATGCTTTCATAAACCTAACGCAACCTTGGTGAAAAGGAAAACAATGACAAACGATACTATTTCGATTGTATGAGAATCAAATTTCAGACTGTAGTTCTTTGACAAATTCAAATGTGTCCTTGATAATAGTTGGAGTATTACTCAGATGGCTCAGCTTTATAGTTAATAATTTAGATAATCTATAACTAAATGTATTCACAGCAGAAATAATTGGTCGTAGAGAGACATTGTTCTTGTGAATCTGAGATCTGAGGCATCTGTTTGTGGATCAAAATCCTTGAAACGTTTCTACGGATTTTCCAGAAATCAGAGAAAAAGGTTTCAACGATTTTTTACAGATCGCAGTTATAAATTCTAGTGGAAAAACATGTGCTTTGTCACTGACCGTAGTTTCAAGCAAATGCTTCTTCTTCTCACAAAAAAAGTTTTTCAATTTCCAGGAAATAGGAACATGCTATGTACTCAGAAACCTTCTGGAAAACCATTGACTGCTTCGTTTGATTACATGTATTCTCAATTTCAATTTAACCATATTGTGGCCCAATGTCTTCTCTATAAATCCTGAAGTTTTCTTGTTTTTTTGGCCTTTCTTTGGTCGCTCGAAAAGACCTCCCGAAACAAGCTGACGGCAGGTTTTCAAAAATCTTCGTCTCGGTTCTCTTAGCTAAAGAGGTAATCAACTCAGCTGATCATCGTGGTGATATCAGTTTGACGATTGGATGTCTTCGATTGTCTCGTAGCACCTCGTACACGTCTGTCTCTGCCAAGAAACAACCTCCGTCTCAACTATTCTGTTTATGTTTGTTTCATATAGTTTATCGATTATGAAGGCATGTGTACTAATCCAAGAAGTTATCAGAATAGTAAAAAATTATGTAAGAGAGACACGAGTATAAAGTGTCACTCAAAAATCTCAGATTCATCGTCGTCTTCTACATACCATTTGTCCTCATATACCGTGTCGATAAGTTGTGACTTAATGTTGGCTTCGACAGCGGCATCGGCTACTTTGAAAGCTTCTGCGACCTTCTTGGTATGCTGAATGAAGCTTTGTGCTAAGTCTCCGTCGACAACAGCAATGAAATCCAGCGACGTGTGACTTGAGCTGGGCCCATGCAAGCTAAATAGGATTGAGAGTACAATGTTTTACCGGAAGTCGCAAAATGCCGACGTCGAACATAAAAGCAGTGGCATTCGTCACGTATCGCTTAGTGGCATATGTACTAACTAAGCGATGATTAGTACACATGCCACTAAGCGATCGACGTCTCTTTTTTATGATTTTTTACTCTCCTGATAGCTTCTCGGATTAGTGCACACGCCTTCGTAATTGATAAACTATATGAAACAAACATAAACAGAATAGTTGAGACGGAGGTTGTTTCTTGGCAGAGACAGACGTGTACGAGGTGCTACGAGACAATCGAAGACATCCAATCGTCAAACTGATATCACCACGATGATCAGCTGAGTTGATTACCTCTTTAGCTAAGAGAACCGAGACGAAGATTTTTGAAAACCTGCCGTCAGCTTGTTTCGGGAGGTCTTTTCGAGCGACCAAAGAAAGGCCAAAAAAACAAGAAAACTTCAGGATTTATAGAGAAGACATTGGGCCACAATATGGTTAAATTGAAATTGAGAATACATGTAATCAAACGAAGCAGTCAGTGGTTTTCCAGAAGGTTTCTGAGTACATAGCATGTTCCTATTTCCTGGAAATTGAAAAACTTCACTCTAAAAATAATTTTTTATCGACAAAATTTTCCTTTCATCTTAGCTACTTCTATTAGCTTAGGCAAGGTTAGGAAATTCATCTTAGCTATCAGTATTAGCTTAGGCAAGATGAGGTGAGGTCAAGAAATTCAAATGAATTTCTATGCCTTAATTAGCGGTAATCGCTTAGGCAAGGTAAGGTAAGATTAGGAAATTCAGCTTAGCTAGCACTATTAGCTTAGGCAGGCTGATGTAAGGTCAGGTAATTTAAATGCATTTCTATACCTTAGCTAGCACTATTATCTTGTCGCTACTGAGTAAAAGAGACTCTAAAGAACGTACTTGGGACCAAGTACTTCATCTGCGTAATGGAGCCGGTAGTTGCCTTTTTTCAAGAACTAAGTTTACTTGAAAATACTTGCCCTTACTTGCCAAGTACTTTCAGAAAGTACTTCTTAGCAATAAGGCAAGTATTGCGATCATTGATAAGTGCTTAGCAAGTAATCAAGTACTTGCATCAAGTAGGTTCTCTAGGGTAGCTGTCCAATTATCGTTATCTAGATAATGCGTATATAACAACGCGTGTTCTTTGCGATGTGCTAATCTAACTCGCAGCATACATTTAGAGTAAAATTTAACTGAATAAGAATTGCTGTATTTCGAAACGCACAGTAGCGCAGGTCACTATCCAGGTCAGGCAACGAGCGTGACTCACTCTCATAGCATCTTTCCCATGACATTTTACTTTATACTTGTGCATTTTGAATTTTCACGAAATAGGAACGTGTCATGCTATGAGGTTTGTGGAAAATACCAGAAACGTTTCAAGGATTTTGATGCTCAGGCAGATTTTTGATCGGAGGTGGTCAAGGACATCGATGGTGTTCGCACTTTTCGCCTAGTCCCTTTTCTGAGAAGAAGAAGCATTTGCTTGAAACTACGGTCACTGACAAAGCACATGTTTTTCCACTAGAATTTATAACTGCGATCTGTAAAAATTCGTTGAAACCTTTTTCTCAAGAGTCAGTGTTCTTCCAAATGTATGGTGTTCTAGTACTATCACTTCTGAATAAAGAGTTTATCAAAAACGTTTATCTTTGCGATACCTTTTTCATAACTTCTCTTAAAAATGTGTTTACGTGAAACTTTTAAAACACATTATTCCTGTATTTATTTTCGATGCAAATTAATTAGAAAAAATTTCAGGTGTCGAGACGCTGAATTATTCTCTTTTGCGGCATAGAAAGACCATATCGCATCAAAATAAATCCAAAAGATGGAAACGAAACAGAAAGAAACGAATTTAATCTTCGGATGCCAAGCTACGGCAAAAATGGCTCCGAAGTAATGGTGCTTGAAAACACAAATAAAAATTTGTTTTTTTGAATTTCCCTATTTCAATCGACTAGATACATAAAGAAAATATCTGATAAAATAGTGTTTAATTTATCCTGTAATGAGTTGAAAAAGCGTCCATGAAATTTTGTTGAAATAGTGAAAGGATCATAACCGAGTCTATCCATATATTTAGGGAAAACGTCAAGTATCATCGCAGACAGTAGAAGTATTTCATCATTATTATTATGCTACCAAAACAACTAGCGATTCAGACACATCAACTCAAATGACAGTTGAATTTCGGCTGATTTTTTCTATTGATTGCCTTACACTAATTTGTGAAAAGAGCACAGTACAAACAGTAACAACTCAAATGCTTACTGTCATTCGATTTGAAGAGAGCCAATGTAAGTATAGATGACGTGCAGATTCTCGGACCAACAATTTATCTTCACCAGACTTCATATTCTATCTATATTGAGTTAAATACATGGATCTTGTTTGCAGACTGCAATTTACATAATTGGCTTTAGTTTTCTGCTTGTCTTCGAGAAAATGCTATCCTCTTTCTAGGATATTTATTAGCAGGACTTTCCGGAGTGTTTAAACACTAGAAACAGTGTCCTTATCTCAACTCTGGCCTTCTCAGAAGGGTATATAATGTTTAAGAAGTTACTATCTAACGTATTTTTCTCTTTCAGTTCTAACAATCTTCGGTTTAACAACGCCAAGCGGCGGTGATGGTAGTAGTAATAATAATTCACCAGCATCACAGATACCACCAACGTCAACTGTCAGTAATCAGCTGTCAGTAACCACTAGCCAGATGGCATCTTTATTCTCTGTGCCCATTTCAAGGATTATACCAACAACTGATGAAACGAGGCAACCCCAACCAACTTCTGCATTTACAAAAGAACGTCCACAAACTCAGAAAACTGGAACCAATACAAGTAAAGTCTATCAGACACGAGCCATAACAAGAGTCACTTTGTCTCTGTTTCAGCTTTGTATCAAAAACCAGGAAGAACAAAACCTTCTCCGGCCACGAAACCTGAAACTTCTAAACGAGCAAAACCAACTAAACCATCAGAAACAAAACCAGAATCAACTTCAACTGTTCGCTCGTTTACTTCATTATTTTCGTCAAAAGCATCAAGTGCATCGAAAGCCACAAGTAACCAGCTACAAACAGAGTCATTCACTTCATTCTCTGGTGGTACGTAGTCAACTCTTTCTCGTGACATATCATACAAACTGAAAAGTAATTTTAGGAGGTTTGAATAAAAAAGATTTCTTTCAGTTTTTTTTCCGCTATCAAATATATATTGTTTAAAGTGAAATGAGGTACGATGTAGCGTTGCCGAATTGTGTATTAGCATATCACCCTGGGGAGTGACCACGTGCTCTGTCAGGATCCTGATCAGATCGCTACAGTGTAAAAACAATAGGGAGTGATTCTGTGGCAGTGACTTTTTCAAGAGATACGGTGATTTTCTGATCCGTATTTTTCTTCGATTTTTAGTGCGCTTACGATGGAACCGGTTAACTGTCAAATCGTTTTTTCAATGAAATCCAGCGGATTATAGGTTACCGGCTATGCTGATTCCGAATATGAGTATGGTAGTTGCCTATAGGTCTCTAGAGATCCGGATTTTGGAAAATCAGTTTTTCAGAAACTCTAAAAAATAGCAAAAACCTCTTTTGATGAGGTGTACTTGTAGCGCGTACATTTCTGATTAAAATGTACGCTTTTGCTACGAACTCTGCGTTTGGCAAGCTGTCTAGCCAGGACTGCAGTTGACGGCTAGTAATGAGGAGCTCGTTATCTACATGGAAGATATTAAGCTACTGGAACTACCATGGCAACACTGAGTGGATGCCCGCAAGGAGAAGCGTTTTTGCTTCAAAAACTCACTTGCCTTGTAAGTGGCGATGTCGTGTTTGAAATCCCACCTCTGGAATCATTTTTTGTCAAGTCTTTGCTTTAGTGCTCTTCAGACTTGGAATTTATTCACCTGACTTCTAGGATATCATCACTTCGTACCAAACTCCAGGAAAGTGAATAAGTTTCCGTTAAGGGTTTTTGTCGACGCAGTATCTTTTTATTCTAAATGCTGTTATAAATCTATTTTTATTGCGTCGTGCGTATTGGTTTGATTTGTCCTAATCTTTATTAACACAGACTACTATTACAGTTTCCAAGAAGGACACAGAATCGACTGGTCCATTGCACCTCAGGTGTATTCCTCAAGGAAAGAAAAGTTGTGTAATTAGCAAATACAAGAAAAAAGAAGAGCAAGTATGATAGAGAATAAAGTTTTCTGTTTTATCATTGATTGCGGCTGAATTTGCCTTATACTTTTCCAAATTTCCTGTGAATTTTTGCATACAATCATTAAAAATTTTCTTTTTCTTATTAATGCTTAGCGTAGGTAAATTAGAAGTTATTTCCATTAAGGCTTCGGAAACGTCTTTTCCGTGTTCATTTAGGCGTCTACTCGTTTGCCTAATACCTTTCTCAATATAACCGCCATCACAATTATAACAGTTGATATTATAAACAATTCCTGAAATTTGGTAAAATTTAATTCATCTTTATCAGGAAAATAGCGATTTATTATGTTAGGCGTCTTAAAAATCACTCTTAATTCAGAAATCCTAATAAGCAATCCTAATCTGAATTAAGAGTGACTTTTAAGACGCCTAACATAATAAATCGCTATTTTCCTGATAAAGATGAATTAAATTTTACCAAATTTCAGGAATTGTTTATAATATCAACTGTTATAATTGTGATGGCGGTTATATTGAGAAAGGTATTAGGCAAACGAGTAGACGCCTAAATGAACACGGAAAAGACGTTTCCGAAGCCTTAATGGAAATAACTTCTAATTTACCTACGCTAAGCATTAATAAGAAAAAGAAAATTTTTAATGATTGTGTATGCACAAATTCACACGAAAAGTTAAGGTGTATCTCACATATAGCTAATAGAATAAGTACTCAAAATAATTCAGCACGTAATTCAAACAGAACACAAGCTGAATTTAAACCTAAATCAGCACTGAAATAAACATGTAGTTCAAACAGGCCATTGTATTACTTTCAATAATGCTAAAATATTAGTTAGAAACCATTGACCTTATCGACTACTGGTAAGAGAATCTCTAGCTATTCGTACAAATACAGCACGGTTTCACGGTACCGATAAATCACTACCGTTGTTTGTTTTTCCTGAAATCCTCTTCCTTTCAGTGATCGCTCACATGTGAAAAGGAAAAGAAAAACCATTCTAACTAGTTAAATGTATGAAACAGTCTTCTATTGTTCCCAAGTCCACTTTCTTATCGCATGTCGCGACGCGAGTCTCTTTAAAAATTCGCGGCAGCATCGCGTAACGCGTTCGCTGTAAGACTCGCGAAATAAGACGTGATTTTTAGCGAGCGCTAGGTTTTCGCGCTCATACAAAAATCAATGACTCTCAAGTATTTTGCTATAGTTACCATTTATTCGCGTTTTCCGTCTAATATCAGTAAATGAGCCACGCTACTTTTATCGCGAACACAGATGAATGGCGTACGTCTGACGCGACTACGCAGGATTATATTACTCATATCGTAAGATGTGATAAGATTTTGAAAATGTTTCGAAAAATCAGTAAAAGTAATGTACCAGGAGCAGTGTCGCTTCACGATCGTGGACTACAAATTTTCGAAAATTAAGACTTCTTCGCGATCGCGCCGCGACAACAGCGACTTCTTAGCGACCGCGGCATGACTCCGCGGTCACTGTAAGAAAAAACTGTCACGTCGCAATCCCGAATTACAATTTTTTTCAAAAATAAGAGTTGAGCATCGCTCCAACAGCGCCTTCTTAGTGATCGCGGCACAAGTTGTGCAATTTTAATGCGATCGCGGAGCCAGGACCGCGTTCGCAACGTGAATGAAACGAGAAAGTGGACTTGGGTTAACTATATTTCATGTTTTCTTTCTTTTTTGTTATTGCAAGTTTATAATGTTTATCGAGATCAGATTAGAATATCAATTTCAAAACTTAGTACATTCTCTTTTCCTCTTTTCGTTCTTTCTCTGTTTTTTTCGCTACCTGGATTTACAATTCTTTTGTACAGCTTATCATGTACATTTATACATATTTTATAGAACCGAAAAAGTAGTTCGTCGAAATAATATCGTTTTTACTTTTATTGATTGTGTAGTTTTGACCGTTTTAATTTTAATATTTTTTAACTCTGATGATGAATCGGTGATCTGAAAGTTTAGATTAACCCTTTCAGGACCGGGTTAATTTTTATATAAAAAGTGCTGTTCAAAAGTTGAAGACCTTTTTTATTTTGCAATATCTCGGCTTCCCTGACAGATAGAGACTTCATCCTTTTGTCAAAAGAAA